TGATCTGGAAATTGTTGGCCTGTAAGTTCAATTTTTGTTTTTGTGCAATCTTGTATGTTGGATTATACGATTTATCATTTCATGCAATCTACAGTCACGTTGAATTGAGGCAAACATTGCAATCTGTGAGCGCAAACTGTCACTTGATAGAGCGTCTGTTCTTTGAATCTTCAAAAACAGGTATTGCACTTCTTCACGAGGAAACCCGCCTTATGTTCTTAGAATTTATTCTTACACATGTATTTGACGAATATCAGGTAGAGATGACAGTTTGAAATCACCAACTTGTGTTGATCTTATGACCGCTTGCCCTCATCTTACGTCATTGGCCCTCAGAGGGTTTAAGTTGCATGATTATAAAGTTCGTATACTTCTGAAGGTATGTCTTGGGCATTTCCAGAAACAACATACCCAAGTCCGATATTTTTTTTTTGTTGTTATAGTAGAATCATAACATTATGGAGAGAGAGGGAGAGTCGAAATTTTACTTTACAGTTATGACTTGTCTTATCAGTTATCAACTTGGATTTTTATGTTTTGTTATCAGTTTTGGTCAAAAGAGTCTTATTTATTATTTTCTAATATTTCAATTTTCGTATTGTCCTCATTCCATTATACCTGAGAATAATAGTAAAGGTCTGGGAGACATATTAATACCTTTGACAATAGATTTTTTGGGATTCCTTATCTATTGTTTGATGTATTTTTTTGTTCCTGTAATTGGTATCCCCTGGATAATGTCTTTGGTTAGTGATGTGAATACAAAAATTGGTCCCAATTTGGTGAATCATCTTGCTTTCAGTCATGACTGCGAAGTTTAATATCTGGATACTTGTTCAGGGATTGAGGAAATTAAAGTACGTTGATTTTTCAACATCCTACTCAATCACTGGAGCATTTTTAAGGTCAGTTATCTTTAATGAACGAGACTTCTTATAAAATCTCTGTATCTAGACTTATTTTTATTATTTTTTTTTTTTCAAGGAACCTCGGAAGCAACACAGGTGGGAATCTGCTGGAAGTCTTAATTTTGCGGGATTGCATGCATCTCAAAATGGTGATGACTTCAAGCTGTCCTCTACTTTTGTGCTCTCTCTCTCTCTCTCTCTCTCTCTCTCTCTCTCTCTCTCTCTCTCTCTCTGAAACCTAAATTGTGATTTGAAGGTGGAGGCTGCTCGGTTGATGACGGCAGTACTTGCTGGGGATTTCAAGTTCCTTAAACATCTTGTAGGTTGATAGAAATTCATCATATTCTTATTGTGTAAGCTTGCATATGAAGTTCTAGGTCTCAGAGTGATGCTCACTTTTCCTATTTCCTCAAACAGGACATATCTAATAGAGAAGGCTTGGCATCTGAGAATGACTGGTATCACAGATGCTACAGCACAAGGTAAGGAATATATAGTTATTTTTCATTTTTCTATCAGTTGGGTAGTTGGGTTACACAGTGGAATAGAGCTCCCACATCTCTTAAACCAACACCCTTACTGAAGGTGGGATTTAATCTTTGGTTTCTGATGTATCACATAGAGACTTTACCAGTGAAATTCTTTTGTCAATATTGTGCAGTACAATTCCCATAAGGCGGGTGTTGGAAGAAAGGCCTAATCTCTGTCTGTTGGCGGAGTTTCCGCCAGAAGGAAGGTTTGCTTATTCTTCAACTGTTGTACTTCAATGGTTTGACTTATTCAACTGTTGAAAATATGCTTATCATTATTGTCTGGGATCCTGAATGGTTTTGCAGTTACGCCGACATTGATCAAATGTTTGACAGCGAGCCATATAGTGATATCAGTCTGCCATCAGCATCGCAGATGAGCAGTCCTTCATCTGATGGTTCAATGTTTGTGAGTTTTTCTGAGAGCAGTTACAATAGTGATCATGGTAGTGGCAACGAGGATGCTCGAGATGCCGGTTATGTAATCTATGATGAAAGCTCAGACGAGGTAGACTATGTGGCTGTGTAGGAGAAAATACCAAATATGGCAAGGATTGAAATCTGTGGCCACCAAATAGATCATGTACCTCCCTCCCTCCCTCCCCCCCTCCCCCTTGCTCACTCACTCACTCATCTATTTTTCTTAGACTTTACATGATGTGTGGTGCATTATAATTTGGAAGAGGTTCACCACTGATATATCCTGCATACTCTTAACAAATTTGTAGTGTTGCCTATATGAGATGCCAGCACAAATTTGAACGGTAAATAAGACTTGTGGATGGAGTTGGTGTGCCGCCGCAATCAGAGTTTTGTCACAGTTTCGTATGCGAAGTTCGGTGGTGGGCACCCGGTACTTGCCAGTATGAGTAGAATGGCCCTTGGAGCAATGTTATCTCATTTCTTTTATCTTTTTAGTCCTCGAGTTTCCCTCTAGCGGTTCATCACCCTGTTTATCATATGGGATTGTGGGTGGAGCAGCTTTCAGCTCTCTTTACTTCGTTTTGTATTTAAATTTTAAAAAGATCTTGTAGCAGCAGAGCTTATATGCGTGCAAAATCTATTGGATGACATGAAAATTTAGTTGTCTTTTTCCAGTCATCTCCACAATTACTTTTATTATTAACTCTTAGCAAAAAAAAATAAAAAATCACTTTATCATCATAAAAAACTAATGACGGTTTTTTTCTTCTTCAAATTCCTGCACCTGTAGATGATTTGAACCACCAGACGCAATTCAATATGACAAATTGACAATGAGAATGCTGTGCGTATAGAAACATAAATGGCATTTTATAGAAAATCTCAACTTAACCGCCATCAGAGAAGCCTTGTACCATTATATAATGCAAATAAAATAAATAAATCGTCAGTCGCGCAACGCAGCACATTTTTTGTTGAGCGAGAAATTAGGCAAAGTAATAATAAGTTGTGGACGATGGCCAGCAGTGGCAGTGGTCAAGCATCGCCGCCGTATAGACCCTACCGCCACCTCAAAACCCTTCGCGGCCATGAAAACGCAGTGTCGTGCGTCAAGTTCTCAAACGACGGCAACCTACTGGCCTCGGCGTCGCTCGACAAGACCGTCATCCTCTGGTCCTCCTCCGCCCTAACTCTTCTCCGCCGCCTCGTCGGCCACTCCGAAGGCATCTCCGACCTTGCTTGGTCCTCCGACTCCCACTACATCTGCTCCGCCTCCGACGACCGTACCCTCCGCATCTGGGACGCACGCTCCTCCGCCGGCGAGTGCGTCAAAACCCTCAAAGGCCACTCCAACTTCGTTTTCTGCGTCAATTTCAATCCACAGTCCAACCTCATCGTCTCCGGCTCATTCGACGAAACGATTCGTATTTGGGAGGTCAAGACGGGGAAGTGCCTCCACGTCATCAGGGCTCACTCGCTGCCTGTGACCTCCGTGCACTTCAATCGAGATGGGTCGCTCATCGTCTCCGGCAGTCACGACGGGTCTTGCAAGATTTGGGACACAGCGTCAGGGACTTGCTTGAAGACGCTCCTTGAGGATAAGACCGCTGCAGTCTCCTTCGCTAAGTTTTCTCCTAATGGCAAGTTCATACTCGTCGCCACTCTCAATGACACCCTCGTAAGAAAAGACCCTTTGTTATTTTCCTTCGTTTTTCTGATTCTCAAACTGAAAGTTGTGATTTTCCTTTCCTGGTTACATGAAAGTTATGATTTTTATTGATCATGAGCACGCTTTTTCAATTGGGTTGCAATTTGTCTTTGAGTTTCACTTGATTAGCGATGCAATTGGTGATCATAAGCATGCTCATTCAATTGGGTTGCAATTTGTCTTTGAGTTTCAGCTGATTAGCAATGCAATTTGTGATCATAAGCATGCTTATTCAATTGGGTTGCAATTTGTCTTTGAGTTTCACTTGATTAGCAATGCAATTGGTGATCATAAGCATGCTCATTCAATTGGGTTGCAATTTGTCTTTGAGTTTCAGCTGATTAGCAATGCAATTTGTGATCATAAGCATGCTTATTCAATTGGGTTGCAATTTGTCTTTGAGTTTCAGCTGATTAGCAATGCAATTTGTGATTAATGGGGTGGGTGGGTTGAATAATTTGCTTTTCAATTGGGTTGCAATTTGTCTTTGAGTTTCACTTGATTAGCAATGCAATTGGTGATCATAAGCATGCTCATTCAATTGGGTTGCAATTTGTCTTTGAGTTTCAGCTGATTAGCAATGCAATTTGTGATCATAAGCATGCTTATTCAATTGGGTTGCAATTTGTCTTTGAGTTTCAGCTGATTAGCAATGCAATTTGTGATTAATGGGGTGGGTGGGTTGAGTAATTTGCTTTTTGATGAAAGGTTTTTCTAGACTTAAGCAGACTCAGAGCTTGTGTAGAACGTGTGCATCCTGTTAAATATCAGAGATAGGGAATGGATTAAGTGTTTCCGTAATTTTGTAGTAGATGTGGTTAATTGATATGTGAGTTTCAAATTTATTTTTTTCTGGGTGCAGAAGCTGTGGAACTACTCAACTGGGAAGTTTTTGAAGATCTATACGGGTCATGTGAACAACGTGTATTGCGTAACATCCACATTTTCTGTGACAAATGGTAAATACATTGTTAGTGGCTCGGAGGATCACTGTGTCTACTTATGGGATCTTCAGCAGAAAACTATGGTGCAGAAACTTGGAGGCCATTCTGATACTGCCATCTCCGTTTCCTGTCATCCATCAGAAAACAAGATTGCCTCTGCAGCTCTTGGAAATGATAGAACTGTCAGGATTTGGTTTCAAGATACTTAATAACATGAAGTTTTCAGATAAACAACCATTTTCCCCTATTGTAAACATTAGTATCTAATTTGGGATAGAGCTGTAAAGATTAGTTTTCATAACTTCCAACCTTCCTTTTGCACTTGTTAACCTTTGTCGGTAATCAAAGATGATTAATTTTAATCTGCTCAAATTGACTAATAAAAGGAATGAATTTATCATAATTGAAGTTGTGCCATAAGAAAGGGATAGTCTTGTGTTACATGACGCAGCCCAAGTTAGTGAACAAAAGCTCTAACCAAACAAAGCAAAGGATTATTATATAGCAAACAGATATTTTGCTTGTCATGACAATATGACAAAATGGGAACTTTATCTCTCCTCCCTCTCTCCCTCTGCACTCCACTGCGACCCCGTCCGGCCTCTTCACAAACCCATCTCTGCAACCCCGTTTCCTGGCCACTCGTCTCTTTAACTTATCCGACGCGAAGAAGACTTCGCAGCAAAAATGTTGTCTTTGGCAGCAATTCGATTGACCCAAAAGAGTCTGAGTTCTTGGATGAAAACGGAGTTGTTGATGATATGGATGGCTACATGAACTACCTTTCTCTTGAATATGATTCTGTTTGGGACACAAAGCCATCCTGGTGAGCCTTCCCTTCTTGGGCCTCCATTATTTTCACTGTTATTTCAGAATGAACACCCTTTACCCCTTTTCTGTTCGTCCTCATTCGTGGGTTTTTGGCGTCTGTGTATTCTTGTGTAAAAGTTTGGTGTAGTTTTCCTGTTTTCCAACATACCATCCTTTTTGTTTCGGAAGGCCTCTTTGTTTGTTAGAACTGTAAATTTAAATTGGATTTTTCCTTCATAGTTTGGTGGACTCCGTTGGAATTGAGTTTCGGTGTGTATATAATAAGAAAAAGGAGTTTCTTGTTTTCTGTTTTCATCTGATGAGCAATTTTGAATCCAATTGCTTGCAACCATTTTGATTCTTCTGCATATATGTTTCATTCATTTATCATATGGGTTCTGGTGATTGTTGGTGATTGTAGGTGTCAGCCATGGACAATTACACTGACTGGAGTGCTGGTGATTGGTGGTAGCTGGCTTATTCTGAAATTTGGGATAGAGCTGTAAAGATTAGTTTTCATAACTTCCAACCTTCCTTTTGCACTTGTTAACCTTTGTCGGTAATCAAAGATGATTAATTTTAATCTGCTCAAATTGACTAATAAAAGGAATGAATTTATCATAATTGAAGTTGTGCCATAAGAAAGGGATAGTCTTGTGTTACATGACGCAGCCCAAGTTAGTGAACAAAAGCTCTAACCAAACAAAGCAAAGGATTATTATATAGCAAACAGATATTTTGCTTGTCATGACAATATGACAAAATGGGAACTTTATCTCTCCTCCCTCTCTCCCTCTGCACTCCACTGCGACCCCGTCCGGCCTCTTCACAAACCCATCTCTGCAACCCCGTTTCCTGGCCACTCGTCTCTTTAACTTATCCGACGCGAAGAAGACTTCGCAGCAAAAATGTTGTCTTTGGCAGCAATTCGATTGACCCAAAAGAGTCTGAGTTCTTGGATGAAAACGGAGTTGTTGATGATATGGATGGCTACATGAACTACCTTTCTCTTGAATATGATTCTGTTTGGGACACAAAGCCATCCTGGTGAGCCTTCCCTTCTTGGGCCTCCATTATTTTCACTGTTATTTCAGAATGAACACCCTTTACCCCTTTTCTGTTCGTCCTCATTCGTGGGTTTTTGGCGTCTGTGTATTCTTGTGTAAAAGTTTGGTGTAGTTTTCCTGTTTTCCAACATACCATCCTTTTTGTTTCGGAAGGCCTCTTTGTTTGTTAGAACTGTAAATTTAAATTGGATTTTTCCTTCATAGTTTGGTGGACTCCGTTGGAATTGAGTTTCGGTGTGTATATAATAAGAAAAAGGAGTTTCTTGTTTTCTGTTTTCATCTGATGAGCAATTTTGAATCCAATTGCTTGCAACCATTTTGATTCTTCTGCATATATGTTTCATTCATTTATCATATGGGTTCTGGTGATTGTTGGTGATTGTAGGTGTCAGCCATGGACAATTACACTGACTGGAGTGCTGGTGATTGGTGGTAGCTGGCTTATTCTGAACTCAGTAGTAATTAGTGTCTTGGCAGCCTTACTAATTAGCACATGGTGGTACATCTTTCTGTATTCTTACCCAAAGGTGTAGGCATCATCTTCCTATTCTCTGTTTTATTGTTTTTTCTTCTTTTGTTGCTTTGCTTTTCTTTTGTATTGAACTTTTTTTCTTTCGTTTTCCAGGCATATGCAGATATGATCGCTGACCGGAGGAGCAGGGTAACCAATGGTGTTGAAGACACCTTTGGTTTAGGGAAGAGCCGGTAATCCTTGATTGAACATCAAATTGGCAAGTTTGTAATCTACGTTAGTTTTACCAGATAGAAGGATGTTAAATCTCTTCAGTGAAGATCAATTTAATGATTTTGATTGAATATCTTTTTTGTGAACTATTTTGATTGAATATCTGTTGTGCTAAATTTCTCTCTTTTTGTATCTCTCATATCATCCCACATAATGTCAATGTAATAAATCTTATTGCTTGGGCTCCTCACGTTAGCTTCTTTCTTCCAAGAAAACAGAGAAGGATAACACAAATAAAATGACACAAGCAAGCTTTCAAAATTCAAACATTAGATCATTCAACAAAATATCATCGTATACATGACTAGCTCTCCTATGGAGCAGGCATTATCAGAAGCTTTTCCTCCGAGGCCTGATTTCCTCCGCTAGACGCCCTCTCCGACGCTAGTAGGGACTGCAAGTCACTACCATTAGCCAAGCTGTTGAACTCAACAGCTTTTGAAGGCATGGCTGGGTAGCGTCGTTGGCAAAAGGTCATCAATCTCTTGACTGACTGCAAGTATTTGCGAGTTGTCTCGTCATTCATAATGTGAGCCACACTGTTGGTGTAGATCTTCTCGCGAGCTGAACGTTCATGGATACCAACCATAGTGACACCAATTGGCCATGGTGCATTCCCAATAGCTAGTTTAATGTACTGGTCCATTGCAGCTAGGTAGTCTCGCTTCATGCAGCACCGCACCACCACCATCAATGCTTGGCGAATATCATCTTGAAGGATCTGCAAATAGAATACAACAATTCAATGATCCATAACCAGCAATTAAATGAACTAAAACAACACAATCCAAAGAGAACTACACAATAGTAAACAACGGGATTTTAAGTTCTAAGACAATTCATGTGAGAAATTTACATCAAAAACCGTTGTTTTCAATTTCTTTTCCCAGCTTCTTATCATGCCGATGATGATTTTAAGGCAGACATTCCATTCCACTCATGAATTAGAATTGCTCAATGTGCTTGAACTAAAACCACATAACCCAAAGAAAATTTACACCAGGGTTTTAAATTCTAAGATCATTCATGTGCCAAATTTACACCAAACAGCATTGTTCGGAATTTCTTTCCCCAGCTTAATATAATGGTCATGAATTAGAATTTGCAGATAATGTGATTGAATTGAACTAAAAGAACATAACCCAAAACACAATTAAAGCACCAAAAGCAATAATTTACCTACCTTCTTCCTACAAAACTTGAACAAAGGATGCAGATAGCGCGCGCATTGCTTAAAAGTGGCAACCATGGACTTCCCCTTAGCAGTCCTCCTCTCAGCATCTGGCATCTCCCGCAGCTCCTGGTTCCATTCATTCAACAACTTCTTGAAGAACACTAAGATCTTATCTTCATCACACAACTCCTCGAAATTCGTCTTCATCCGCTTCAAATCCTTATCAGCATCGACCCCGCTCGAGCATCCATCGGCGCTCAAATCCTCTTCACGGACGCCACCATCGCCATCCTCCACGCCCCCGTCAACCTCCGTCTTCTGCCTCTTCCTCTCGCTCACAATTCCCGACTTCTGCCGTTTCCTCAGCTCCGCGATATCGCGGAGAAAGTCGTTTGTCTGCCCCTCCGTCATGTCGCTATCGACTTCGAACAGGCCGGCCTTCAACACGTATTTGAACCGGTCGAGCCGGGCGTCATCGTCTTCGCCAAAGAGAGTGATCGGCTGCTTGAGGAGCCGGAGTCGGCGAACGACCTCCTGTTTGGGGATGTTGAGCTTGTCGATGTTTTGCTCGTCCGTTAGGGATTTGGACGTGGTGGCATTGGAGGAGGTTGTGGCGGAGGCAGTGGTTGTGGAGGCATTAGGGTTTGAATTGGCGGCGGAAGAGCCGTCTGTGGCGGTGGTGTTGGAGGCGGTGGCTTGGCGCTGGGCTTTGGCTTCTAATTCGCGCTTCTCTTGTTCCCGAAGCTTCTGGATTTGCTTCTGTTCGATCTCAGAGCGCTTGAAGACTCGCTTGCCGCCGGTCTCTTCAGCAAGTCTCTGCCGTTTCTTAAGGATCTCTTGCTTTAGCAGGTCCATCTAGGGTTTCAATCGCTCTCAATTTTGGGGAAGAAGAAGATAAATCGATACGCTTGAATTAATTAGATCGAGAAATGATAAAATACTTTGTGGTGTGGGTTAATGGAGCTCAATCCGAAATTTTCGGGTCCGGGTTTCGGGTCCGGGTCTATAAGGAAGCTGATTATTCGGGTACGGGATCTTTAAGGCCGTAAAACCGACCCGAATTTTGACAAATAAAGGACGGGTTGAATTTTTACGGGGCTTTAAGGTCTCGCGAGAAAGGGAGAGAGAGAGAGGGAGAGAGATGACTACGATTCGCAGATTTTGCTGCAATGATCTTCTTCGTTTTACCTCTGTCAATCTTGACCACCTCACTGAAACTGTAAGTTGTTGCCTTCTCCCTCTCTAATTTGCTTTTCGTTTCCTTGTCCAATTTGCTTTCCTTTTCTTCCTCAAATTTGCTGATTATTTTTGTAGATTATTCTAATAATCTGTTATTTGCAGTTCAATATGTCATTTTATATGACCTATTTAGCAAGATGGCCCGACTATTTTCATGTTGCCGAAGCCCCGGGACACCGAATCATGGGTTACAGTAAGCATCCCCAGTCTCTTGTATTCTATTAGTTGTTATTGCTTTTGCTCCTGGAAAATTGGCATTGTCTTTTTTTTTTTTTTTTGTAACTACAAAATGTATCTTGAAGGCTCATTTCTTTCGGGTTGAAACTTTTCAATTGTGAATATAAAATGTAGGGTGAAGAAGATGTTGGGAATAAGCTTTTCCTTCTATGCTAGCTTGGGGGCGAAAAAGAACATTATGCTTAATTTAGGGCCCGTTTGATAACCATTTCAATTTTAGTTTTTAGTTTTCATTTTTTGTGCTAGAATAGAGGGAAAAGAGGGAGAATGGAAGTGAGAATGAGAGTGGAGATGGGATTGAGAGAGAATATGTGAGGAGAGGATGGGAGGGAGCAGTAACCAAAGTGAAAACAAAAACTAAAAACTGAAATCTATTTGAAATTTTTTTCACTTTTGTTACTCCTCCCTTTCATCCTCTTTCGCAATCTCATCCTCACTTCCATTCTTACTCTCATTTTCATCTATACTCTAGCACAAAAAATGAAAACTAAAAACCAAAATTGAAATGGTTATCAAACGGGCCCTTAGCATTTTATTTGGTATGCAGCTGCCATTTGGTTTCTCTTTCGTAAAATTACTAAGTTTATTGTGTCACCATTGGTATAAAGTTGTTTGCTTGGAACAATGGAATTAGTAGAATTGGACAGTTACAGTATGTTTCAAGGAGATTGTGGGAGGAGAGATTTCAGATTAAAAAATGGGCTCTTATTGTTTAGTGTAGGGGGTGCTAAGAATAAATTACATGCAGAGGTTTTCTTGGATGTCAAGGATTTGTTTGCGCGACCAGTTTGTTCCTGAAAATGGTTAAGGTATGAGGTGTTAGTGAGGCTTATGAGAGGTTCACTACGTCTTGGCTTTCCTCTTGATGCTAATATGCTTGCCATCTGTTTTTATTTTTCTTTCCAGCTTTCTTTTAGTCATGATAGATGCCATAAATGGCTATGTGATTCTGATATGATGGCAGTTATGGGAAAGGTTGAAGGGCAAGGTGAGTCATGGCATGGTCATGTAACTGCAGTAACTGTTGCGCCAGAATATCGCAGGCAGCAATTGGCCAAGAAACTCATGAACTTGCTGGAAGACTTTAGCGATAAGATGTAAGAGGGGCATATATTGATTAAGATTTAACTGTCAATGCACATTTCAATAGTTTTGGCTGGAAATAGAAACTTGGCCATCTTTTTGCAGATCATTATGTTACAATAATGGAAAATCTGATAATTGTTTTTCTTGACACACTTATTTTTTTTTTTGGGTATGAATTTCTTGACACACTTAGACATATGTTGATTGGTGAAATGATCCTAAGACCTATCGGACCACTCTCTACACATTTTCCACCTGCACCTAGGCCCAATGCAACTGGAATTTTCTTCTTGTCATACTATTCTTTCTTACCCTAATGAGGATTCATTTCCCTCCAATCTGTGGGGTCTTTTTGTGGACTGCATTTGTCTTGTAAATCAGTTTTTAGGTTGAGAGCAATATGAAGTCTTACTGGGTCATATAATTTCTATGTGTTTGTCGTATATGCCTCACCTTTGTTAATGAAAACTTTCGTTTGGCAGTGATAAGGGTTACTTTGTTGATCTTTTTGTGAGAGCATCAAACACACCAGCCATAAAGATGTATGAAAAGGTAATGTTTCTTGTAACTGTAGATATTCTTTGCATTGTATTGTCAGCCAAAATCGAAATGACCAGAAATTAGGTTCCATTTATTTGTAGCATACTATCCATTTCTTACTTTTACATGAAAAAGGCTTGCTTTCTTGTACAGAATGAAAAGGATCATTGGGCTCTTTTTGAGAACTCCAAATAGAAGTTTAGTTTTAAACTGAAAATTGTTTCAATTTTATGAATCAAATGCATCCTATTGGGAAGAGCTTAATTGTATAATTTGTTGCTTCTATGTGATTCCTGGTTTGTGCGAGCCAGACATAGATCCCAACTTGGATATTTCCGCAATTTCGAATGGGACGAGTCATGCTCACTATCTATTTCATTTTGTTTTCCATTTTTTCCCCACAGCTTGGTTACGTGATCTATAGACGAGTCCTACGGTATTATTCGGGGGAAGAAGATGGGTTAGGTGAGTTTCCCCATCCAAACTAACATTATGTAAAACTATTTTCCATCTCACTTTTCTATTGTGTTTGTTCTTGCTTCAGATATGAGGAAAGCATTATCTCGGGACGTTGAAAAGAAGTCAATCATACCCCTCAAACGGCCGGTTACTCCTGATGAATTAGAGTATGACTAAATCTGATTTCTATGGAATTTCTTCCTACTAAGTGTGATGATGATGTATTACCTTGTGCTTATGGGTTTTTGAAGTTCAGGAAGCTAGGTCCTATAAACTGCTTTTAAATTCTCATGTGAAACTGGGAGTCTAAGTGCGCTGCTCATGAATATGACACTAAAACACAGTGGGTTTATTAAGGAAGTTTGTATCATCAGTCTGTTATCGTTATTATGTCTCCTGCCAGATGTGTTGCTTTATGCAGGTTCAAAAGGTTTTGAAATCACCTTTCAGAAAAAGCCAACAGAATCCCTCTGCGTAAGCTTGTAATTGAAGCATGTGAAAATAACAGTGATGAGGTTTTCAAAATCTCTCATTTCAAGCTATTTAAAAACGTGTGGCATTTTTAGTTGCTGGTTGCGCAAGCAATCTCCAAATTTAACTTCAAAAAAGGAAAGAATAAAAAGTTTTCCAAATTCATCACAAATTACACTCGAAGTCCTAAGAATTTTATAGTGAGGCCTTCCTTAGATGAGGTCATATCTCTTAACTGTTTGATCAAATTAAGAGGTAGGGTCTCAGCTAAAGGCTTATGAGACACAAATTGAATTAAGCCACAAAATCCAAGCCTTGTAGCATGAGTACTCAATGCTCAAGAGCGTTCGCCCTTGCATCCGTGATCTTGCATTTTAAATTTTAGCTCGAGTGCTCAAAACAAAAAACTTTTGTATAAGTTGAAATTTTGGTTTAGGGTGCGGGCGGCCCCCGCCAATATGAGGGGAGGTGGGTGGGGAAAGCTGGATTGCTTCTTTGTTCGCCGCTTGCACAACAAAGAAGCAATGATGGATTGCCTCACGTGCCCTCTCGTGATGCCAAAATTGAACCAAACATCAAAGTGAGAGAAAGCAGTGATGGAGATTTGGGGGTGGAAGCACTTTTACCCAAATGGTTACTGTCTAAAAACAGAGAGTCATATTCCTTTTGGCTTTGACATGCCACTCTCTCTGTCATGGCCCTCATATCAGATCACACTTCCACCTCCATATCTCAATCCAAAGTACCGTCAAATGCTTTTTTGCATCAATACCCAAAATCCAACACACAAAAACCGCAGTTTTGGGACACCATTTTCATTATTCAACTAACCATGCAGGAGGGACATCATTATGCCAACCATGTAAATGCTTTGGTAGACCCACCCTGCATTTGCATTTCATGGGACCTCTGTTTTTGATGTGGGAATAAAATATGCCTGCCATTTAGAGGTGCATGAGTGACAGGTTTCTGTTGTAACCAAGATTAAATCACCTCTCTCTCTTCTGATTGCCTCCTAGTTAAGCTTAGGGTTAGGGTTTTGCTCTTGTGCTAGGCAGGCGAAACAGAAAAGAAAAAAGAAAGAAAACCAAATGGGGTCACTTTCTTTTTTCTTCTGATAACAGATCTGAAGATGTGGGATTGGGTGAATTTCCACTTCGGATGGAAGACCAATCCAGGAACTTTTTCATGGCTTTGTATCCAAAAAATTGTCTGCCATTGTTAAATCTGCTAACACAAAGGAGGAAACCATCACACCAACATATTTAAAAGACATCACATTTCCTTACAAAGCAACTCTATGTACATGTACCCACATATTTGAAAGACATCACATTTCCTTACAAAGCAACTCTATGTACATGTACCCACTACCTATATTTGTGCAAACAACCCTATGTCTGGTCCTCATTGAGATTGGACCTTTTCACAGTAAAGTAACCCTTGCTTTAGGGTTTGTTTTTCTTCTGATTTCTCCACTTCTTTTCCATGTTTAGATTGGAATTATGCTCATGCTTGAACAGTGAACAGTATATACTCACTGATTATGATTATTTTTCGCTAGAAGTTTTATTTGGTTGAAATAAAACTTCTGCTAGACCAAAATGCAGGTGTAGGAAGTGCAGAAATAATCTTCCTTGTGATATTTTTCATTTTTCAAATGCTGTAGAAATATTATTTTCATTTCGTTTGCTACAGGGGCATGATAAGCAAACAGCAATGGTTCTCACTCATTTGACATGTCAATCACCACCTTTTGTGTTTTGTGCCTTTGTCCTTGTTTACTTATATCTGCTGTATAATTTGTAATTATTACTGATCAGGCTCTGCATAATGCAGGATTTTGCTCCTCAATTAAACTCATAAAGCAAGTCTCTGTTTCCCAAAAACACACTCCTTTTTTGAAGAGTATTTATATTTAACACTAAACAAAAACAAAGACCATTTGCAAGGTCTAATTTTTTTTTTGCTTTCATTTGGGTTGAGCTGAGTACATCTGCCATCACTAAAATGAGGCACTGTGGCTAATCCTATATGCAAATATCAGATTACTCGCTCGAAGAACACTTTAGTAAGGTGGTTGTTAATGGTTCCAGGATCATAGTAGGCAGAATAGTAAAAGCTCCTCGCGACCACGAAAAAGGTTTGCTTGATCGAAGAGTGTATGTCGTCCGAAGGGTTTTCGAGCATCATTTTCACAAGTTGTTGCATTTCTGACTCTATTTCTTGGATTTTCATGGTACAACTCCCATTTTCATTTACCTGAGAAAATAAAAAAGAAAAAGATCTATCAAACACTGCCCCAATAAGTATAGTTAAATTAGTGGAATGTGTGACATGTCGTTTGAATTTATCTAACCTTGTGCTTTTGGTTTTGGTAGGAGTGTAGTTTATTGCAAACACTGTTAGTGATGCTAAAAAGTTGCTCATGCTCTGGATTGGACAACAACAACCCTTCTGGGATTGAAAGGCCAGCGGTCTGATTTATCGTTTCCACCAGTAGCTCAGCTTCATCTTGGTGCATGTCCCCTTTCTCTTGCCACTTCGTAAGCCACTTTTCCCACTTTATATTTTATTAAGAAGAAAAACAGAAAACACCAAGTTATAAGTATTGGGATCAGTACTATTAACTGGGCAGCCAATGGAAACATAAAAAACAGAAAATAAAAATGGGAGCTGTGTGGTAGAAAGAAACTCACAGCTTGGCGTAGAGGGTGGCTAATGTCATGACCATGAGCCACCATTGCGTCCAATGAGAAGTGGTGTAGAGTTGCCATCAAGGTCTCAATAAGCCCCTGCCTTTTCTTGTTTGTATTCATCTTCCTGCAACACAAAGCACATGTAAATGCCTCTTTCGAAAGTCGGTAGAACTGTAACACCGCCACGTGATGTATCTAACTAATCTAGTCATGTTATATAACAAGCCAACTGCATATTAGTGACTATTGTACACACAACTATAAATATGTCTATCTATATCATAACCCGTGAATTTCTTTATACCTATCACGTGACACGGTATTTCACTACCACACGATAGTTTTTCCTTAGAGAACAACCACCCTGGGCCTCAATTGGTAACATAGATGTTGTGCTTATTCTTACTATTATTAGATCTCTGAAATCTTGGAACTTCCACTGTGGTGGCTGATTATTTGGTGCGCTCATGACACATGAACTGACGTTTCGAAATTAATTTGTCTTTGTTTACCTAGAATAAAGTATTGTAGGGTACCCTACTGATGAACCTATTTGCATTATTAGCACAAATGTCTCTGAAAGAGGCCGGTGAATAAGACAGACACCGAGAGAGAGAGAGAAAAGATCAAACAAACAAACAACAATAGTTATTCTTTGCTGCAGTTTTTACGTACGTACCTAGTTCTGAATTCATGTACAAAGGCCCCCCTCTGCTCATAAGTTTCTTCCTTGAAATGAGACCCGATTGTTTCAATCAAGCATGTCGTTTTAGCCCATGCAACTCTCTCGTTTGCTCTTTCTGGTTCAAAAATACTTGCTGCAGCAACAAAATAAGCCATGAGGAGGCTTCTTCTGCTCAATCCGTAGTCTTCAAGTCTACATTCTGCGTACCACCTGCGTACGTACGTACGTATAATACATAAGTATAGTTCCAAAAAAAGATTTTTAAAATTTTAAATCATTATAAAAGTGAATAATAAATTGAGGGTTTTGTTTTGTTTACTTTTGAATGTTGTCCCATTCGATCAGATGCAGTGCTTGGCAATTGTTGTAGTCAAGTATTGCCAGCTCGAGGTAGACATTATTGTTTACGTAGGGCATCCTAAAGCAAACAGTCGTTAGAATCAAAGTTCAACATTAATATAGGACAGAGTGTGAAGATTTAAAAATCCGTGACTCTTCTTGCACCCGAATTCAATCCCTCTCCTCGTACACTAGAGTAATTTAGAGTATATCTTCATCAAAAAGAAAATGTGAAAACTATAATTAATATACCTGTATAGAGTCTTGCCAATCCAGACGTCATCTCGGCCACCATACTGTTCGATGAAGAATCTGGTCTCCAGTCGAGGTAAGCTCGCATACCATGGAACTTCCAGTGCGTACCCCACCTGTTTATTGGCCCTTTCTTTTTAGAAACTTATTCTTCTTTTTTTTATATATATATATATATCCAAATAAAAAATAATATTCTCATTCGCATTTATATGTTTGTGGATATAAAGCTAATTAAGAAAAAAATCTCAGTTGTTAAATGCTTTATAATATTCTTTAATTCGTGCCCCTCATGGAATGGCATCGATCCTGTTGATTTTTCTCTGATATGTATATATCAGGATATATAATTCTGTGTTAAAATAAATAAAAAGACTCAAAATTCAAATAAATAATTTCATACCTCGCCAGGCAAGTCCTTGGTGATGATCCATTTGTCTAGCAGCTCATCGGAAGCTTGTTTTTCTCTCAGAAATTTGGTTGAAAAATCCTTAGCCCCCTCGAGGATGTTTTCTCCAGGGAACAAAACTTGACTAGCCCTAAACAAGTTGTACATTCCAGTCACAGCTTGTGTGCTTTGTCCAGCAAAGCAGATGAACTCGTTGCCCTTCTTGAAGTGCTCAAACACATCTGTTCTTGTTAATTAACCCAAAAATTAATTACACTAATTAAGTTTATTAAACTAAACCAATGGAAATTTAAAATAATATAAATTTGAACTTACCAGCAGACACATGGTGGCCATGCAACCTGAGCAGTCTGAATGCCATGGCAGTGTCATCAATGTCCTGTACCTCGGAATTTCTTGCCCAACAAATTCCTTTCTCAGTCCAGTATCTACAAGATAATGGGAAAAAAATCAATGTTAAAAATAATTAAAGTTTTTGTCATGTCACTTATCGTCCGAATAAATGCACCAATGTTAAATATAGAAGCATACCTGTCGACGTAATTAATACATTCCTTAATTTGTGGCTCGAAATATCTAGATATTCCTAAGCGCTGCAGCCGATCCACAACCCATACATGTTCGAACAAGTCCACTGGGTACACATTAGGGACTGAAAAAGCAAGATAAAAGGTAAGTAAATACATATTATTTATATTTGGAAAAGACTATTATTAAAAATGTTGGCATGCATGCAGTTGAATAAGTTAATTACCTCCCCCATTGAACTTGTGGACAGCTTTTGCCAAATAAGTCATGCATTTGGAGTCTTTGGTCTGCATGAGAGCATAGGCAGTGGAGGCCGGAGAGAACAAGAAAGAGCCATCTTGGGACTGCAGTTTTAGAAGTTTTTTCCAGTCCAAACCTGCCATTCCTTCCAAGCTGTGAAGTAATGTCGTGGGCACTTTGTGCATTATGTCCCTCGGTATCCTATCCAGAAAATAAACTCAAATCATACAATTATATATGTATATCTTCCCACTCCCGCACACATAAATAATTACATGCATGTAAAAAGATGCACACCCAGGGGACCAAATTATTATATATATATCTACATGGCATGGATAAGGTTACTTTTTGTTTATTCTTTTATCCGAAACACAAACCAAAAAACCAACAAATAAAAAAAAAGTTTGTGAAAATCTGCAAAAATAATGATGGCTCGTGAGGCTTTACTTTGTGAGCTTTAGATTTCTCATGGCATAAATCTCATGCAGCACTGCGCAGTCGTCAGGTACTTCCAGGTTTAAACTTCGAGCTATTTCAAGAATCGAAGGAAAAGCAACTTCAAACCCGATGGGCATGTGTTGAGCATTCTCGTTCCCAAGCTTGTTTATGTTTTCCTTGAAATATGCCATTCCTGTATCAATATTTAATGGGGTTACATTTAAGGAAGTAAATATAACAAGGAAAGAGATTATGGTTTAGAGGATTAGACGAGCATTTTTACACATCAGAGTTTAGTCGTCCGTCTAATTAAGTAGTCTACCTTTTTCACATTTGTCGGGATGAACGTTCCATGTTTTTAAAGCAACAACACAAGCTATGGTGTTGATGATGCGATCGTGAGCCGTGAAAATTTCACTATCTCCCCAAGAGCCATCTGGGAGCTGATTGTTGGCAATCCATTCGAGGCTGGAGGGGAACTGAGGCAAGCCACTTCCCTCCACATCTTCCACCAGAGCCACCCAAGCGGTGTCGTATGCTGACACTGTGATCTCTCCGTCCTCCATAGACCCCAGCATCGATCTGATGGCCACCACATGTTCCTTGATCTTATTAGACACAGAACCCTATTCAAAAAACACATAAATAATTGGACTGCGGGTACAAGCTATATATAAACAACAATATATAAAAATATATTATTTTTTTTTTGAAAAGGTGAAGTTAAAAGCAAATGAAAACGCATAAAAAACAGGGTACCTTAGGATCAGCTTCGGCTTCTATGTCATCCTCCACAATCTGGTGCCACTTTATCACTGGCAGACCATTTTGTAACACGTCTGCATATTCTGCACAAAAGGAAGATTGCTATTTGTGTGTGTATATAAAAATGTATATATATTGTATGACTGTAAAAAGTTAAAGAAAGAAAAGGAAGAGAAAGTGAAAGCATATAGCATGATTACCTTGAGTGCGGGGTTTGGAAACCGCACTGCATTTTGAGAGAAATACCCTTTTGTTTTTAGCGCCGAAAGACCAGACACCTACACGAAGGGGTAGTGGTGGTCATTTCTCGGAGTTTATTTCTAGTGGCAAAAATTAAATTAGTATGGATTTTACCATGAAGAAAATGGATATATATATATATATAATGTATAAATTGGAAATGGAAAAGACAAGAATATGCAGATATATATATATATAATGGAGGTAGGCTTCTAGGTGACAGTTGCCTGCATGGTGAAATCCACGAGGTTGCCAAGACTAAAGGAGAATTCAAGAGAGAAACACATTTAACGCCCTCTTTGCAGGTAAACAAAATAAGAGACAAAAGGCAGGCATGCCATGGCTAGCTAGCTCTGAGCTCTGAGAGCTCTCCAACCAAAAAAATGAAAAGCTAATCAACCAGAGCTGAGCTGATGATCACTTAATTAAAGATCATATCAGAATTGAGAAGAAGATCTTCATCTGCATGCAGCTTTTCTTCTTGTGGTGGTGCTTTCTGTGTGTAGTTTTTTTCAACGGCAACCACGATCCATGACAGAGAGAAAAAGAAAACTTGAACAAGAAAGAGTTTTCATTTTCTCTTTCTATCTCTTTAAAAGGAAAAAAAGAACAAAATCTCCGATCAACTGAAGATCGACAATCTTCAAAAGATTATATATATATTAAAATAAAAAATAAAAATAAAAAGCTTGAAAAGATGATAAAGCAAAGAAACGTAACAGTAACTGGGGACTCACCCGGTAAAAATTTAGGTTGATTAATGGTAAAAGAAGAGGAGGTGGGTGGGAGGGTGGGGGGTGAGGAGAGCAAAAGGTGGGTGGATTGAGAAGACATGATAAAATGTTTTTGTTTGGTGCTGTTGTTGGTGGTGGTGGTGGTGCTGCTGCTGCTGCTGCTGCTGCTGCTGGGGGAAGGAAAACGGAGAGGATTTACAAGTAGAGAGAAGAGGGAAGCAAGCGGACAGAAGGAAGTTCCCAAGAGATTCCCGCTAGGAGCATGGCATCATACTATGAAATTGAGGACTGTCCTGTCCTTTTCCTCTTTATTTAGAGCCTCCTAGCATTTCAAATTTAGAAAATTTTGCTCAACATTTATTGGTAAATTTGCCTAAATTTGCCTAAATACGTGAATTTTCCAAAAGATTCAATCACATTTAATCTACAATACATGAATTTGGTTGTATTTGGATAAATTTCAGACCAAACAAAATCAGTTGTATTTGGTTAAAATTTCTCCAAAAGATTTATTGTACCTGGTCATTTTAATTATAAGTACATTGGTATCTAGTCTGAATTTTCTTTTTCACTATATGGTAAGAAAATATTTTCATAACCACTCTAGATACATGAATTCTCCCTGGATTTAATATTTGGTAAAATTATTTTCCTTGTAGCGCGAGTTCGATATATGGTAAAAACAAGTTTTAAATCCCTAAATACATGTACAATTAAAAAAATTAAAAAAAATTGATTGAGTTCACATGATAAATAATTGAAATTGACACTCTCAAAGATCGAATTTCTCAACCAATTAACTCTTAGTCTAGTAGTACTTCTCTTTTCAATGTTGAAAGAGGTTCCCGACTCTCTATCCCCTTATCGCATTAATAAAATAAAATGATTACATATATGTATATATAAAAGACCCTCTTGCTTGCACACTCATGCACCCTCGCATGAGTGCAAATAAACAGCGTTATATATTTTTATTTATGTGTATTTATAAAAGACAGTATTTCTGTGTAAGTCACGCTAAGTGTGTTTGACTACTTGGAACATCATAATGGTTCGAAAGTTTCTTTTGGGGTGGCTTTGGGTTCTGAGAACAATACAGAGAATTTTGGTTGAGAAATATTTTTATGCGATGTGGGTTTGAAATATGCTGGACCAAAATCGAGCTGTAAGCAGGATGTTCTTTTCAACTTGTACTTGTCATCTTTTCGACATCATATGGAAGCAAAGAGTAAGGCCCCTGGGCCCTCTGGGGCCGAGTGAAATCATCACCAACTTCAGCCAAGTTATGCTCAAAGAGGAAATAAATCCTTCTATATATCTATTCTTGGTACCTCAAGTTTCTTCTCCATTCGACATTTGTTTATCTGTTTATGTTGTAGTGGGTAAGTGCTACATGTTTGTTTTATTTAGAAAAAGTACAAAGAAACGGACACATTGTCGACTAGACCAACTGACTTAACTCACATCTGCAGTAACATAACGAAAATTATCCAATAACATTCACTACGTAAATTAATGCATGCATGTCAATCATTATATATGACTACAACTGATTGTATATGACGTCTAATTCATCAGAAGAAAAAAAAAAATTTGACATTATTTATCTTTGACTTAAAGATTTTTGTCAAATGAGAACTGAAAGAGATTGGTATATTTTGTGTGTTTGTTTCCAGTGTGGCATATCATTGAGTTCTAACCTCGAAGATGCTTTCCTTCCGTAGTTTAATCTTCTGGAAAACAACCACAAACAACAAAATAAGTTTAAGTTAAACTCATGGATTAAGTATATTAAATACTACTGTTAAGTGATGCAGCTATCATTTTATTAAAAATTGAGAGCATTAGGATATAAAATAAAATAAAATAAACACAAGTGAAATTCGGATTTGATTCGAATTGTCTCTTAGGCCATCACCTTCCAAACTATTGACAATATGCCTTCTTGTCGTCCTGCGCTTTTCTGGATTTGTTGTTTTCCTCACGAGGTGGTGGTGGTGCCTTAGAAAGGAACCCTAATTAACAAATCATTTCCTGCTAATTGCCCGATTAAAAAAATATAAAACCCACACATATGATTCAAAAGGTGTTAAGGTTGACGTTGTACTTTCTTCTTTAAGTAACCTTGCCAATAAAATAATGTCAAACAATGTTGATGGTTTGTAATATTTTAATATGACATCGAATCTTCTAACGTGGAGTGAGAACTAAACAATTGCAAGTTATAGTTAATTGGTCACTCTTTGCCTAATTACCCACCCGCTCCTCTCCGCATCAACCATGAGGAATATAAATTATGCATCTCTTCTTTACAAGTTGATGTTTTGTTGCATCAATCTAATTAAAATATGCATTATTGTTTTCATTATTTTTTGGATTAGCGCATAACTAAAGACTGTTACTACCACTTCCCACAAACGACAAGCCGGCTATAGATGATGTGTTTGTTCACATTGTTGGGGGAGATATGAGAGGAGAGAGTTGGGGGAGGAGAGGAGAGTGGGTGAGAAGAGAGAGACGAAGAGTTAGTGAAACAAATAAAATAAAAATAAATAAAAAAGAAACATGTGTCATTTTTTAAAGAGGTACAATGAGGAGGAATGACTTCTAATATATCAGGAGCCAAGCATTGTCCTTTTTTAAGCGTTCGTGTTGTCAACACTCACTAGACAATGAGATAATGAAATAATGTGTATCAAGATTCAAGAACATGTTTTTCGTTATAAAAACAACTAAAATAAAAGGATAAATTTAGTTGGATTTGGGTTTGGGCTTAGGCCTGGATCGGGTCCTTTTGTGCATGGCTTGGGAAATGGGCTCAAACTCAAACAAAAAAATTATTAGGCTTTTTTTCTTCTTGTTGGACTCAAAATTATTAGGCTAAAATAACTTATTGGGTTGTGAAAGTAACCAACCACTTGGCCTTTTTGTTATATAAAAAAAAAATAGTAAAGTCCAAGTCCTCAAGCCCAGACCCAAATCAGTTGGGAAATTACATAATGTCACGTGCTGAGCACGTGACAACCTCAATCATCATATTTAAGTACACTGAAAAATAGAAAGAAAGAAGCAGAAGAAAATGGTGTCCTTCCGCTTCCCCTTCTCGTTTCCTCAGCCCCCAAAGCGTACTCCTCCCACCTCCTCCTCCTCTGCCACGTCGCGTCCCTTCTCTGCCACCACCGCCTTCATCGCCGTCGCCGCTGGTGCCGCAGCAGTCGCCGGAGTGGCTGCTGCCACCCACAACTCCACAAACCAAGCACACCCATTTCTCCAAAACGCGCTGAATCTCTTCTTTGCCAATCGCTCTCTGCCACTTTGGGGTTCGCTCTCTCTAAACGACATTTCGAGCTCCGTCGTTGATTCCAAGACTGGCGCCTCGTTTCCTTCGGTTCTGGATGACTCTCGGCGACTTCTTGGAATTGGGTTGCGGAGAAAACGCGTGTTCGGCTTAAAGAACATCGATGTCTATGCATTTGGTATCACATTTCCTTTTTGTTGGCTTTGGAAATTTCATTGCTTTTTGTTGTTGAATTTAAGAAATTTTAATTGGTAAGCACACATTGTTAGCTCAGTGTAGAAAGTAGTAAAATTTTTGCTAGCTCGTTATTGTGCATGTGTATGTATAATGTATGTATATACAGGATTTCAGCTTGTGCTAACCATGTGCATAATAGAAGACGAGATAGCAGTAGCGTTGGATTGATTAAGTTATGCAATGGTTGGGTGTTTTTTATAAATGAATCGAAATTTTTGAATGCTGCAATGTGGTTGAAGTGTTGTTCCTGGTGATAGATGATTAATGCTGTATTTGAAAATCAGAACATGCTACGGATATTGAAGCTCTGTGAAAGTTAAACATGACTAAATATCGGATAAGTTTTACTTGTAAAAGATTAGGTGGCAAGTTATGGAGATGATTGTGACAATAACAGTGGGGTATTTTAAATCCAGTGCATATTTCATGTTGATGATAAGTTTATTAAAAACAGGGGAATTAAGATTTTTTTTTTCTGACGTTTTGTTTCCTTGCATTATGACATGGTACAGTGGTACTTTATGGAGATGATTGTGACAATAAGAGTGGGGTATTTTAAATCCAGTGCATATTTCATGTTGATGATAAGTTTATTAAAAACAGGGGAATTAAGAATTTGGTAATTATATTTGGTAATTTTTTTTTTCCTGACATTTTGTTTCCTTGCATTATGACATGGTACAGTGGTACTAGTGGCTCTGAGAAATCATATCATCACTAATTCAGTACATTTGATCAAAATGGTGTCATTGAAAGTGTCGATGTCAGTAGTTAGGGTAAAAACCTATCTGTGATTTCTTTCACATGGTTTGATTCCTCAAATACAGATACATAATAATGCTGGCTTGCTCATTCTGGCTATTTTTCAAGGTCCTTTTGGCACAGTCGCAGTCCTTTAAGCCTGCATTGTCCATGTGCATAGCCTTTGCTATACATTTCGTTGAAATATAGTTGTGTTTATCTGCAGGTATTTATGCTGATGACAAGGACTTAAAAGAATTGCTTAGCGAGAAATATGGGAAATTGTCCGTTTCGGAACTTCAGGACAACAAGGAGTATGGTGATGATTTGCTGGAAACTGATATAGGCATGACCGTTAGACTACAAATAGTTTATGGCAGATTGAGCATTAGTTCTGTGCGTAGTGCTTTTGAGGAGTCTGTCGGAAGCAGACTTAGGAAGTTTGGAGGATCAGATAATCAAGAATTGCTCCAAACGTAAATCATTTTTGCTAATCAACACTGAAATAACCTTGTGACTTGCATCTTTTTCTTTTCAGCTTGCAGTAATATGTCTCATCTCCACTAGGATTTTTTTTCCCTGTTCTCTGTTTATAAGCCTTGGTTTACAAAAAGCCACACCTTGTAGTATGATTTTGTCATCCTAATAGCTCAATTAATTGTAGGTTCACTTCCCAATTCAAAGACGAATATAAAATACCAAAGGGATCTGTAATAGATCTCTCAAGGGAACGGGGCTATGTACTTCGAACAACAAGTAAGATTTTTCTCTTCACTCGTGTTCCGATTTCTTCGAAGTATATCACAGCATACATATCCATTTTCATCCATTCATTATAATTATTTGCAGGAAGTGTTTGTTCTC